CAGCCTGGAACTACAGATGTGCACCAACATGCCTGGCTAATTTTTTAGTTTTTTTGTAGAGACAGGGTCTATTTTGCCCAGGCTGGTCTTGAACTCCCAAGCTCAAGCAATTCGCCCATCTTGGCCTCTGAAAGTGCTGGGATTACAGGTAATGAGCCACCACACATGGCCCAGATTTTGAGTATTCTGAGTGGGGATGCTCAACCTGGACCTGCATCTCTCCAGAAGCATCAGAGTACTTACTAGGCACTTAGATACATTGCTTCATTTAGCCCTCACCAAGAACTATGCGGGATTGGCATTACTATCCCCATTTTGCAGACCGTCCGGCTTACAGAGTTAATCATGGACAAACCCAATAATCAAATCCAAGTGGGTCTGCCCAAAACCCCACATCACACTGCTTTAAAATTGAAGTCTGCACTTCAGTTCTTCGTTAGTCTCCTTTATGTCAGTAACTAAAGTTCAGATTAAATATTTGCTCTATTTTCAAAAGAAAACCATTCTTCAAACAATTTTCTACCAATATCTCTGCTGAAATGGTACTTATTTATAACATAGTACCTTAAAACGAGCCCACAGGGAACTGCAAACTGTTATTTTCTTGAAGTTTTACACATTCAGTACACTTTGCATCAGTAATAAAAGTATATTCATAAAAGTATACTCAAGTATAGGATATTATGAATCTAACACTACATATATTTAGGCATAAATGGGACATAATATTCCACTTATTTCACAAGCAATTACTATAACTTAATTCCAATAGTTATTCTAATACCTTCTTGTTCTTTCTAGAATTTCAGGTTTGTTTTTTAAGTGGTTTCTCCCATTTTTCTCACTTTCAATTACTTATAAAACTGTATTCTACTTTCAGTCTAAATTTTGTGTTGCCTATATTAAATCCATTTTCCCAATATATCTAGACTGCTGCCAACTAGAGTTAATAAATTTTGAATGACTGCTCAGGATTTCTCTTTATTTTTATATTCTATGTTATTTCCTTACACAATAGAGTATGAATGAAAACAAGTATCTAGAAGACCAATATTTCTTCAATTGTGGAAGCTAGGTATTAAAATAAAAATAAATTAAACTCTTGGGCTGGAAATTCCCTGGCCATATTTCTCTCACCATGCTGGGTGTCTCCATGCCCCTTTCAATCTTGAGTATATATAGTCAATAGGCACTGCAAGCAGTGGGGAAGCACCTGGCCCATCAAGGGCCTTTCCCTGAGGAAATAATGAATAAAGAACAGGTGAAGGGCTGAGTAGTAGTTCCTGACCTGCCAGCAAGAGCGGAGGGGCAGCATTCTAGATTTGAGTCATCTCCACTGGAGTGTGCCAGTAATCGGTTTTTAGAAACAGAAAGCCTGGCATCCTGAAAAGACCTCAGCAAGACTTGAATTTCACTCCTCATTATTTATCCAAAAAGGAAAAAAGACCCAAGGATTTGTAAGTGATGTGACCAAAATCCAAAGGCTGTTAGTGGTATCAGCATATTTAGGATGCAAGTACCTCTCTAGTCGACTGCACTTTCTACTAAGCTGTGTTTCACTGGGTGCCAATTTCTTCATCTCAAGAGGTAACTACCCCTTTTGTAATACTACCTATCTCACAGGACTAAAGAAAATAAGGTATGCAAGAGCATTTAACAAATTTACAATACTACTTCATAGTATTGTGGAGAGGGCCAAGAGACAAGAAATCTGGTAGCATTTAAAGTGCTAAGAGCACAAAACAGAAGTCTCGTAAAGTCATCTTGCCAGCCAAATCCATAGGTTAGCCTGATTATACAACAAAAGCATTCACCTTGCCACTTTCCAAAAGAGTGGTTAAGTATCAGTGGAAGCTACAATGCTCCCTCACACTGGCAATTTACCATGAGATTTCTAATCAATAATCAAAACACTGTATTGTACTTCCTGCTCTGAACAACGAGTACCAAAATTTCAGCAGCTATGTAGGTTGGAGTTCACAATCAGGCAGCCTAGAATTACACACAGACTGCAAATATGTTTTGATCAACATAATTTTTTAATGGCAAAATTTTAAGCTAAATACATTAAAAAGTACCATATGCAGTGGCTCATACCTGTAGTCCCAACAATTTGGGAGCCCGTGGCAGCATGGCAGGAGGATTTTTTTTTTTTTTTTTTTTTTGAGACAGAGTTTCACTCTTGTTACTCAGGCTGAAGTGCAATGGTGAGATCTCAGCTCATTCCAACCTCCACCTCCCGGGTTCAAGCAATTCTCCTGCCTCAGCCTCTCAAGTAGCTGAGATTACAGGCATGCACCCTAATTTTGTATTTTTAGTAAAGATGGGGTTTCACTGTATTGGTCAGGCTGGTCTCAAATTCCTGACCTCAGGTGACCCACCCACCTTGGCCTCCCAAAGTGCTGGGATTACAGCCAGGAGGATCATCTGAAGACAGGAGTTCAAGGCCAGCCTGGCCAACATGGTGAAACCCCATGTCTACTAAAAATACAAAAATTAGCTGGGCGTGGTGGCAGGTGCTTGTAATCCCAACTACTCAGGAGGCTAAGGCATGAGAATCGCTTGAACCTGGGAGGCAGAGGTTGCAGTGAGCCGAGATCGTGCCATTGCACTCCAGCCTGGGCAACAAGAGCAAGACTTTGTCTCAAAAACAAAAACAAAACTAGCTACACATGGTACCATGCACCTATAGTCCTAGCTACTGTGGGGGCAGAGGCAGAATCGCTTGAGCCCAGGAATTCAAGGTTGTAGTGAGCTATTACCATGAAATTGCACTCCAGCCTGACAGAATGGTACCTTGTCTCTAAAAGTTAAATAAATTTAAATATATAAATAAAAATCCAGATTTCCAGCATCTTTTCCAAAAAATCAAAAGATCCACGGACACTGGCCCACTTCCCCACATGGCAACAAGTGGAGCTGAGCAGTGACTGCCCTCTTTAGTTTGAGTCTATGCTCACCCGTTCACCAAGGCCTAGCCTACTCATCCTACTACACAACAGGCATCAGACTTGGAGAGACTACTGAGGTAGACACTCAAACAGAACTAATAATAGTAATTTAATAAAGATTTGTTTACTCTTTTTTGGCCAGTTTTTTGTGGCTCTATCACACATTAGCTGTGACTCTTAGGTAACATATTTAACCACTAAGCCTCTTAAATTGAACACAAGCTGAAATACACTGACTTCTGAGTCCAACTTCACAAAAACTTCAAACTCACCGAAACGAAGTCAGGGCAGCTCCCATGGGGATAAAATGTAATATGGCCAGGAATGGTGGCTCACATATATAATTTTAGCACTTTGAGAGCCCGAGGGCAGGTGGATCACTTGAGGTCAAGAGTTCGAGACCAGCCCAGCCAAAATGGCAAAACCCCGTCTCTACCAAAAACACAAAAATTGGCCAGGCATGATGGTGCCTGCCTATAGTCCCAGTTACTTGGGAGGCTGAGGCACAAGAATCGCTTCAACCAGGAGGCAGAGGTTGCAATGAGCCAAGATTGTGCCACTGCACTCCACCCTGGGTGATAAAGCAAGACTCTAAGTAAAAAAAAAAAAAAGGTAATGTAACAGAAGTCCTTGTCATATAATTTAACACCTATGACTGTGTCCTTAACAGTAAGCCCTATACATCAGAATAACAGATTGCTAGCAAATTATCTTAGCCTGAAACACATAAATCCACTCACCTGCAAAAGTTTCTGAAGTCTTCAGGTATGAGCCAATAAGCAAAACAACCTCCCCTACCAAAAACAAAAATATCTCAATAGATTAGGCTATGAGCTCTTTAGTGCAGAGGCCACTCCATTCCTCATTATCCCTCCTGTCTCACAGTGACCGGCACACTGAAGCTACAGCTCAAGGGCAAGTTTCTCTCTGAAGCCTTTCCAGAGGGTCCCCATCCACATCACAAAGAACAAGCAACATGGCAGAGTAATGAAGAGTGCAGATCCCAGTGTTTAGCAGATAATCCCCTCTTTCTTACAGCTCCACCAGTAGCATCAACTAAAAGAAGTTATTCAAGGTCTCTGTGCCCCAGTTTCATCACTGGCAAAATCAGGATGCTAATAACACCTTCTCATACAAGAAAAAAATGAGATACAGCATTTAACATCATGCTGGCAGAGTAACTACTCATTACATACCATCACCAGTGTTCCCTTCACAGTGCTCTGTGGGACCCCCTGGGGACTTCTACCTTAGAACCCAAAGTACTTTATTACAGTTCACCCCCACACACACATCTCCTCTACTAGAATGTCAATGACCTCGGGATAGGGACCCAATTTGATTTCTCTTTGTATCCCCAAGGTCTAGCATTTTGCCTGGCACTGCTGAAATGAATCATAGATCCTCAAAGTGTTTATTAACTGGAAAAGTTATTAGCAGAAACTGGAATTTACCTCTCTTGCCTAGTACTCAGCCCTCACTAACTCTGACCCCTACTGCCCCTCCAACTTTCCATCCTTTACCCTGCTAAAAGAAGCAATGACTTGCTTGACTCAGGCTGTAAACTCATTCACCACTCTAAAACCATACCTCAAGCATTATACCTTTGTATCTTATAGCTATTTATTTTGGGGGACTTTACCATGTACCAGGCCCTCTATCCCCGTTAGTTCAATAAATATTCACAACACTCCATGTGGTATTATTCCCTAACCCAACCCCCAGCTGAAGAAAATGATGCTTGGAGTTATGTGTCAAAGGTCACATATCCAGTAAGAACAGGGACCGGGAATTGAATCCAGACTCCATGCTTATTTTCTATACTGTCTTCTCTGCTCATATTCAAAGCTGAGCTAATCCACCTGCCATCTCCTTGCCCTGGAAGAGCACAGCCTTTGCATTTAAAAGATTTCTGTACCATTCATTTTAACATTCATATGTTTCATCCTGTATACTTTTTTGTTTCAATATTTACTTGCACAAAGAGACAGTGTGAGACAAAGGCAAGACATGTAATGGAAAAAGCACAGATTTAGGCATCAGACAGACCTGGCTTTGAATCCTGGCTCTGTCTGGTACCAGCTGTGTAATTTATTGAGTCTTCCTCATCTGTAAATTGAGGTTAAAATGATTAAACAATAGAAATCCCTATATAATACCCAATACATAGTAAATACTCAAAGTTGAGTTTACCTCAAATTATAAAGCATTACCTGGCCACATCCCATCCCTCAAAAGTGAATAACCCATTCCCCTCCTGGACTACCACTGCCACAACAAGAACTCTCACACAATGTACTTATCACTGTTAGAATTATTAATTTCCCTTATCTCTGTTTCACTACATTGAGCTCCCTGGAAGCAAGGACTGAATCTTATTTATCTCTACACTGTCTAGCATGGTACCTGGCATGTATATATCCATACTTAGTAAACATTTACTAAATTAAATAATTGTAGATAAAATGAGTGCTTATAGAATTCTGTAGGAAAACCATTTCCAGCTGGAGTTGTCGGGAATTGGTTGAGAGCAGCCAACTTCAGCTGAGCCGTGGGAAGCATCTTGATAGAGAAAAGGGGAAACCTAGGCAGGGTAGGGAGAATGTCCTAAAAAATCAATGGAACAAGAAAGAACAAAAGTGACTGAGATCCTACTTAGAGTAATGGATCAGGTAGGGTAATTAAAGAAGGAGACCTTGACCAGACACGGTGGCTCATGCCTGTAATCCCAACACTTTGGGAGGCCAAGGCAGACCACCTGAAGTTGGGAGTTTGAGACCAGGCTGACCAATATGGAGAACCCCATATCTACTAAAAATACAAAATTAGCCAGGTGTGGTGGCGCACGCCTGTACCAGTTACTCGAGAGGCTGAGGCAGCAGAATTGCTTAAACATAGGAGGCGGAGGCTGCAGTGAGCGCCATTGCACTCCAGCCTGGCAACAAGAGCTACACTCCCTCTCAAAAAAGAAAACCTTTTCAAGCATAACTGGGAAGGTAACCAGGAGCCAGATTCCGAGATGTAAGGGAATATAAGTGCAGTCTGGTACACACAGTATTTAAAGTAGGCATGAGCACTCAGCTGAATGGGAAAGGGCTACCAGCATGCTTCACATCCCGCAGCTGTGTGAACTGAAAAACATGAAAACAATTATTGCTTCATCAAGAACTCTTTCAGTGTTTACTAGGCACCTTGTATGGGCTCATAAAATATAAAGAATAAAACGGTACCTCCCATTCTGCTCAAGTGGGTTTTAACATTAGGAATCCACCCCTTCTGCTTGTCAAGAGAATGAGAACGCTGCTTTTTTTAAACCGATGTGTCTCCATTTGACTGTTCACACCTGGGAAAGTTTTGAACTTTGCCGATTTGGGTTTATAACAATATGGTGCTTTGCACAGTGCCAGAAGCTGTGGTGGGCTTCAAAAGTTACTTTTCACTCATTCAAAAGGAAATTTTAACCAATTTCTGGGTTGATTTGGGGGTCTCTGGTTAAAATCATACTCTTGTTTACACCACAAGCTCTTCTTTTCCCCCCGCCTTAAACAAATCTAAAGGACTCCTTGCCACTCCCATAAACAAACAATTGAATCAAAGTTCAGCAGCACTGTAGTTGCGAGGCTGTTAACCCCTTTAGGGCGAGGAGGAAAAGGGACACAAGGAAAAAGGACCACACAGGCAATGCTTGAAAACCTTGATTTTCACATTATAAAGACCAGGGCACCTAGATATTGCCAAGTGCAAGACCAGAAACTGCCGGAGCCAACTGCACCCTCCCCACCCCGCCCCCGCTACTCCCGAACACTACCAGGTCCATGGGCTTCCCTTCCCCTAAATCACACACCCGCCTCAGACTCCTGACAGTCCCCAGTTCTGGTAAAGGCCAGGAAACGGATGCTCCCGGGCCACCTGAGCAGGAGCCCGGCAGGCGGCCCGCTGAGCAGCGCCGAAACCGGAGAGGTGAGAGGGTCGCCAGGTGGGCAAGCTGGTGGGCTGACGGGCGAGCGGGGAGCTGGCGGCTGGGGCAACCTTTACCTGAAGCTGCTTCCACACTACGGGCCGGGTCGGCCCCGGGACACGTTCCTGAGGGGAGGGCCCGGCTCCCCCACGCCTCCCGGCCCCTTCCCCGAGCTCTGCACTCTCGGGATCCACGGGGACCGGCGCTCCTCCCGGCCCGCTCAGCTGCCGCTTCCCGGGTTCGCCCTCATGCCCGTGGTGCTCACAACCGCCGCCGCCGGCCGGCCGAGCAGCAGCCCTATTACCCCAAGCCGCACACGACCCGGAACCACACCCCGGCGCTCCGGAAGTCCCCGACCGGGAAGGAGCCTCTGGCTGGGGACGTAGTGCGCAAGCCCCAGAGCTGAAAGCAAGCGGCCACAGCTTCCCGCGGGGCGGGGCCGGGAGGGAGGCCGGGCGCATGCGCGCCGCTTCTCCAATGCAGGAGAAGGCCTGAGTCTGAGGCTGAATTCTGGCAAGATGCACTCGTGTCTGGATTTGCCTTTAGCAGGAATCAGTGTTACGCTTCTCCATCGAATCTTCTTTCTCCCCATTTCCACGGAGAAAAACCCTTAGTTAGTCCAGAAATGAGTGATGAGGCAGTTTAGCCTCTGTATCAGAAAGACTTAGGTTCAGATATGCCAGCTCTTATAACTTGCTGTGTGTCCTAGGACGTGACAACTCTCCTCTCCGAGCCTCGGGTTTTCCCATCCAGAGCAATAGTTTCAACTTTAGAGTATCCAATGGGATGATGCTTGAAAATCACCCAGCACAGTGCCTGATACATAATAAACATGTAGTCAATGTTAGTTATTTCTCTTATAATACCTGTAATATGGCGGTGATAGTAATCTTCCTCAGGTCCTGCTGGGAGATTTCCATGAGATGCAGGAGGACTGGCACAGGCAGAAGTTAGTGTTGTCTCACGCTGCTCTCTTTCTCTCTCACGGAGGAAATCAGTGGAGAAAGCCACAGTGAAGGGGGAAAAAGGATTCGGGCAGTGCAGTGAGAGTGTTCTCCCACCCGAAAGATGCTCTGGGAAGTCTCTCAAAAAAGCACCGTAGCGTGGCTGGGGGTGGTGGCTCATACCTATAATCCCAGCACTTTTTGAGGCCAAGGTGGGTGGATCACGAGGTCAGGAGTTCAAGGCCAGCCTGGCCAAGATGGTTAAAACCCCCGTCTCTACTAAAGATACCAAAATAAATAAATAAATAAATAAATTAGCTGGGCGTGCTGGTGAGGGCCTGTAATCCAAGCTAATTGGGAGGCTGAGAGGCAGGAGAATCGCTTGAACTTAGGTGGCAGCAGTTGCAGTGAGCCGAGGTTGCAGCGAGCCGGGATTGTGCCACTGCACTCCAACCTGGGCAACAGAGTGAGACTCCATCTCAAAAAAAAAAAAAAGCACCATAGTAAAAGAAAAAAATCAAGGTTAAATTTCAGTCCTGGGGGAACCCTGCCCAATTTTAAAGTCACTAATAAATATGCCATGGGGCCAGGCACGGTGGCTCACACCTGTAATCCCAGCACTTGGGGAAGCCGAGGCAGGCAAGTCACTTGAGGTCAGGAGTTTGAGACCAGCCAGGCCAATATGGTGAAACCCCATTTCTACTGAAATTACATAAATTAGCCAGGTGTGGTGGCTCACACCTCTAGTCCCAGCTACTCAGGAGGCTGAGGCAGGAGAATGGCTTGAACCCAGGAGGCGGAGGTGGCAGTGAGCCAAGATCTGGCCACTGTACTCCAGCCTGGGTGACAGAGACTCTGTCTCAAAACAATAAACAAAAAAACACCATGGGTCCACCCTGTATTTCAAATATGGTCATCCGTCGCTTAATGATAAGGACATGAGAAATGCATTGTTGTCTGATTTTGTGGTTGTATAAACATCATAGAGTATACTTATACAATGTCACAGTCTATTACACACCTAGGCTATTTGGTATTAGCCTATTGCTCCTAGGCTACACACTTGTACAGCATGTTACTATACTGAATACTGTAGGCAATTCTAACACAATGGTAAGTATTTACGTATCTACACGCCTGTAGTCCCAGCTACTTGGGAGGCTGAGTCAGGAAAATCGCTTGAACCCAGGAAGCAGAGGTTGCAGGGAAGCCGAGATCACACCACTGCACTCCAGCCTGGATGGCAAAGTGAGACTCCATCTCAAAAAAAAAATCTAAATGCTGAAAAGATACAATAAAAAGACCATATTATAATCTTAGGGGACCACCATCTTATATGCACTCTGTCATTGACCGTAACATCCTCATGCCATGCATGACTGTATATGATTGATCTCTTACTACATCCCATGATCTCATATAATTGGTATCCTACCACACACCTGTACTAGGGGGAATAGTGTGCCTCAGTGCCCAGGTGCACTCTTGCACACACATCCCCACAGTTCCATTAGGGACCTGTTGGAGGCACTCTAACAGAGCAGCAGGTGTGAACAGGTTTGGATATTTGATTTTCTAAGGTCATCAGGTTATCTGTTCCTTCTTAAATCTTACTCTCCATTTTCGTCTCTCTCTCTCAAGTTCCAATCTGAAGCACAGCTGCCTGACTGTCTCTCAGACACATAAAACTCAACCTATCTAAAACTGAAATCAACTGGGCCTACTAAGCAGTTACAGGTTCTAAAGAGTAAATACTTCCTAGCACTTTGAGAGGCCAAGGCAGGAGGATCACCTGAGCCCAGGATTTTGAGACCAGCCTGGGCAATATGGTAAGACCCCATCTCTACATTAAAAAATATATATCTATATAAGCCAGGCATGGCGGCTCACGCCTGTAATCCCAGCACTTTGGCAAGTCAAGGTGGGTGGATCACAAGGTCAGGAGATCGAGATCATCCTGGGTAATATGGTGAAACCCTGTCTCTAAAAAAAAAAAAATTAGCCAGGTATGGTGGTACTCATCTGTAGTTCCAGCTACTCAGGAGGCTGAGGCAGGAGAATCACTTGAACCCGGGAGGCAGAGATTGCAGGGAGCCAAGATCTCACCACTGCACTCTAACCTGAGCGACAGAGCAAGACTCCATCTAAAAAAAGAAAATAGCAAGGCATGGTGGTGAGTGCCTGTGATCCTAGCTGTTTGGGAGACTGAGATGGAACAATTGCTTGAGCCTGGGAGGCCAAGGCTGCAGTCACATGTTATCATGCTACTGCACACTAGACTGGATGAGCAAGCAAGACCCTGTCTTAAAAAAAAAATCAGAAAAATAAAAAGAGAATACTTACTCTGCCACTTACAAGTTTTGTGACTGCATCTCTCCAAGTTACTTCTCTAAATATCTTTTTACCTGTAAAATGGGAATGACAAAACTCCTACATAACCTCATTGGTTGTTGTGAGGATGGAATGAGCTAATACATGTAACTCACAGAACAGAGCCTGGCATGTGACTATCATTTACTAACGCTTACCAGTATTAGTATACCTCAGCCAGTAAGCCATACTTATTGAGTGCCTATGATGTACCAAGCCTGTCCTAGGTACTGGGGATTCAGTGGTGAAAAAGCCAGACAGGGACCCCATCCTTAAAAAGCCTTGTAGTTGGTTAGGCGCGGTGGCTCACGCCTGTAATCCCAGCACTTTGGGAGGCCTAGGCGGGCAGATCACAAGATCAGGAGATAGAGACCATCCTGGTCGATACAAAAATTAGCTGGGCATGGTGGTGTGTGCCTGTAGTCCCAGCTACTCGGGAGGCTGAGGCAGGAGAATCCCTTGAAACAGGAAGTCAGAGGTTGCAGTGAGCCGAGATCATACCACTGCGTTCCAGCCTGTGACAGAGTGAGACTCCATCTCAAAAAAAAAGAAGCCTTGTAGTCAACTTTGATGATCGGTTTGAAATACTTTAGTTGCTGTGGTAAGTCGGCATGCATGGATGTATGGTAGGATTTCAAAGACAGTATTGAGGTCCTAGTTGAGAAGGTAGACTAAATTTATGGTGATACTAACATGACGGCTTGCGTGATTATTCTGTAACTAGTTGGAGCAGTTACAATACACACACACAAAGAATGAGAAGTTGGATTGATCCAAGGATTTTGCCAGACAGGTGTGATGGAGTCACATCTACTTTAAGAGTGCTTAACACAATGAGCCGTAGAAAGTGTGCTAGATAGGGAAGCCAGAGAATTCCAGAAAAGCAGATATCACTAGTTTAAAGGTCTCAAAATAGATGTAATGGAAGTGGCTGATGAAGGAATAGAAGGATGGAGGTTATTGTCACAGATGGATGTTTCAACAAATAACCTCAGAGGAGAAGCCATGTGAGAGGGGGTCCTGGCTAAAGTGGAGTGGAGAAGAAAAAATCACTGAAGGTGAGATAATCAAGGAACTGAGGTGCTTGTGAACCTCCAAAGCTCCCAGGATGGTGGACATACATAGGGTGAAAAGGAAACCAGACCTGCTTCCCATGGCATTCTGCAACCAAGAAATGGGCGTTATATTGGTAGAAGTGTCATTAAAATGTACACTGACCCATCTCCTGACCTGGGGTGCACTGTCTAGGACCATGAGAGCTGACACACATATACAAATGATATTTTTACAGCACACTGATGGTGCTGGGGCAGGGGCTGGCTAAGGGACTACAATAGATGTCAGGGCAGCAGGACACATACCTGGGCATACCTAGGACAATCAGGCTTCACTGCCTTCATCTCCATCTTGGTTAGGAAGCCATGTTAGCAGGTAGAGGTTCTCTTTCTTCTGGTTCCCAGGACTAGAGAGGGGCAGTGGGCAGAAGTTCAAAAACACCTACTACCTGTGTGGCTTTCAACAAGCCTTTTCTGTGTCTGTTTTCTCATCTAGGTTGTTGTGAGAATTCAGTAAAGTACTGCACTGAGAGTAATAAGAATAGTGCCTGGTATATAGGAAGTGTTGCATAAATGCCAGCTCTTCTGGCCCAGCACACCAAGATGGGCAGTAAGGATCAGGTCCCTCATGCATTCGCTTTCCTCACAGCCCCTCAAGCCTCCCCTCAGCAAACTCCTATTCATCTTGAGGGGCAGCCTAAAACAAGAACCATGTATTATTTCTCAGGATTCTGTGTGTTGATGAGTGGTTCTCCTGCCTGTCTATCCCGGGCTTGCTTATGTAATTGCAGTCACATGGAAGCTAGAATGGCTAGAAGAGCTAAGATGGCCTCACTCATATGGCAGC